AAAACCGTGGATATCGGCCGACTCCTGAATACCCTCATAGGACCGATCCTCCAACATGACGGCCTCTCGAATCATGGCATCCGAAATTTGAGGGGATCCGCCAATGTCAACTATCCTGAACTCATCCCTTGAAATATCTTCTACTGCCTGAGAAGATCCACCCTCGGTATCCCTTCCAATTATCTTAGCTCGAGAAGTNTTCGAAAAAATTCATTCAAAAGCCTTTTCCCTTGAGTGCAGCCCCAAAACCAATCCCCAAAAAATTTTGTATGCCCGAAATATCCAAATATAACAGAACGACCGACCCCAACGAGTACATCACTTCTTACACGTGTGCCATCAAGGGCAATGATTTGGAAAATGATGAGATCGAATCTGTATTATTGAAAAAATTCGGTGAAACCCTGTCAAAGGGAGCAATGGTATGGTATCATAATTTACCATCTAACTCTACTGACTCTTTTGCTATGCTTGCAGATTANCTTGTTCTGGGATTATGGCCAAGGTTCCCCGATCTGCTTCCACCAAATTGGAAGACTGTTGAATTACAACATTAGCCCGTACGCAGGCTAAATTCTCCTGTCCTTCTTCGGGCTCATCCCTTGAATGGCGGACCGCTTCCGAAGACATAACACCAGGGCCCCCCTTCGGCTTCCGAGATCTCTTAGCCGGTTTCTTCTTTTCCGAGTTCGAGGAGCCCGATACGTTTTTTCTCTTCCTTTCTTTCACCTGCTTCGGGACAGGAACTTCTTCGCCACCGGACNATGGATCTGCCACCAGTCACAGACGATTGGGCTGTTCAAGCTTTCACTCAAGGTCTAAACGAGCAGAGCTCGATGGCTTCATGGTGGCTGAAGCAAAATCTGATCGAGTACCCAGCTATTACTTTGACCGATGTGCACAATTGATATCAATCCAAAATAAGAGTCGAAGATGACCAGTTGATTTCTAGGTCCATTACGAAAAAGTAAAAGTCGACCAGAGATCGATACCAGCCATATAGCGGAAACGATACTAGNCTACAAAAGGGAAGAGGGAGATTTACCATACAAACCGATGAAGAGACAAATCGACAAAAAGATTGACCATGACTGCTGGCCTCCCATCGGCCCTTTGATAATTCGACCCAAGCACGCTCGGAGTACGGTCTCTGCAGCACCAGGCTTTCGACCCATTGTCTAAGATCCGGGATCGGTTCCGGCATTCGAGCTACGACTATGATAAGGAAAAATGGATCAGCAAAATAGAAAGCAATCACAAAATCAAAACGGGCAAAGAGAAACGTTTACTCACGGCTCATATTCCATTTCTCGGGAAATGGCAAGTTATCGACAGGGATCAGATCTNCTGACGCAAAACATGAACCCATGTACAATGATTTGCAAAGAAAGCCCTCTTCTTTACCGATATTCTATGTTCAAGATTTACTATGCAAACAGGATCGAGTTCGAGCAAGCGCTCACTCGATCATTACGCCTACGGGCTACATTATTTCGAGTTCGAATCATTCACTTGACTACAAAGCCCACGGGCTACTTTTATTTCGAGTTCGAGCAAGCACTTNAAATCGAAGAAGAATCACTATCCTCCAAAAGGAAGGGTGGATTTGGCCGAGGGTCACATCGTACGTACCTCTTACAAAAGGCGACGATGACAGGGTCTAAGGGTCCCAACGTGAAAAGATAAGTATAAACACTTAAGAACCCTTCGACATACGTAGTAATTGATTCATCGGGTGATGGGATTACTACGAATTTATTATCCCAGTTGCATTCTTGTATGACTTTATCGAGAACTTTTTCGGTGATTGAATATTGATACCTCGACATCGGCTCACACCGACCCGGTATTGGAGAAGGCTTTTCAATTTTAAAATCGCCTACGGTCGAACACCCAACCGGAACGAATTCCTCAGGGCGGGGCTCTTCCACATCCTCGCCACCAGTAGGTCGAGATGAAGAAGCGGTCTCTTTTTGCGGAACAGTTTTAAACGTTTTTGCCATTTAAAATTTCATAAACAAAGGACGGAAGTGTTTGGTGTTCTAAGGAAGAATTTCCAGTAAAACTCACAGGTTTACAAGCAGAAAACTCAGAAAAGGAATTTGCAAAATTTGGAAGACTGAAGACATAAAATGATGAATGGTGGAAGGAAAGGCTATTTATAAATTGAAACAATGACGGTTCAATATCAGAGGTGGCCGACCACCGTCTGACACATTAAATGCCTCGGTAAAATCGAACCGATGGGACAGCTATCACATACGTCATGGTCGGGATCGATGAAAATGTCAGTATATATCTGATCGAGCTGTTGGGAAATCATATCTTTTCTCGCCACATCCTTTTCCGAGAAACGAGGGGACTATCTGTATACGGTCAGAGTCAGTCGTACGGACTGATCGAGACGATAATGTTTCGATCAAAGGATATCTGCATGACAAGCTCGGTCAAGATCCGAAGTAAGGGCGGCGAACTTCGAGCTCTAAGACCGATCAAATGACAAGCTCGATATCATTATCGAGCCCATATCCAAATCGAACTACGAGGCAAAGCGAAGATTATCGAAGATGCATGGACCAACCAACATTCACCCTGAATACCGAGACCCCAAGTCAGAATCGAGCTCGGACCAAGGCCGAGGGCTCGATCCAACACCGAGCTCGAGCCAGTATCGAGCTCACAGATTAGGGCCGTTGCAACCGCACTATGAGAGAGAATCTTGGCGGAAATCGAGGAAAAGACAATATATCATGGGCTCTCCACTATGTATTTTTTATTGTATATAAAGTAGGATCCCTCTACTATAAGAGGGATAGCAACAAAAGATCACGGGGGCAGAAAAAGATAATCCCTTGTGCTTGTTTTACTCATTCTTTTTGCTCAGTATTTTCATTCTCATAGTTAAGAATACACATATTTTTATTTCTCTACACGATTTATATCAAATTGTATCGTATATCCTTAGAACCATACACAAATCTAACGTTATCCGATTTTTCGGGTAAACAGATGTCATAACCATTGCTAAGAGAATTAAGATGCAGTTAATGTAGAAGTCTAGACAGTAACGAAATGAGATAGAAAACGCAACTCATTCATGGCATACAAGCATCACAATTATATCGAAGTGTTCAACTCAAGGATGGGTGTGTGTGAGCGAATCAGTATCAGAAGTTAACAAAGAATATTGAATTACATTTACAATATTCCTCCTTCCAGAGCAAGTAGTCTGGTGGAATTTATGCTGAATAACATTTAAATATGAACAGATGATGTTTTACTTTCAAGGCTTACTGTAAAGTATGATTATGTGTGGAATATTAGAGTAAAACAAATTTACTGCAACCATAAAGTTTTGAAAAATGATTTCAACAATAACAGGGATAAGGCAAGGAGCAGACAATGGAGATCCAAAAATCTACCTGTCAGAAGAAGCAAAACGTGCTGCAAATTTCTTCGGCTTAGCCTTATCTCCATATAGTGATAGGCCAGCATTATAATCCTGGAAAAAAGCAGCTTAAACTCTTAGAGGCCAAACCTTTCAGAATTTTAAAAACAAAACAAACCTTCTTATTAAAGTACAAATCAGTCCTACTTTGAATATAACCAGAAGCTTGTGATTAGACATTCTTGATCAGTTTGTTCTTTCTCTTTGGTAAATACATCCTTGATTCTACTATGCAGACATTTTATCAATCTTTTTTCTAGTTTATCAAATTTTCTATGCTACAAAGGGACATGTTAAATGGATCAAATACCACATTCTCGCTGAACACATATTTGAACCAGTTAATACTGCTTTATGGTATTATTTTTTCTTTTTTATTTACTCTATCTTCCAATTATCTTTCTCAGCTTGATCAGAATGAACCATAAAATTAACGATTAAAACCTTACTGAAACATGATCGAAATAAGGAAACGCCTAAAAGAATTTTCCAATTTCCAATTAACACATGCTTCCACTTTAATTTCAATGGTTTTAACATACACATAATGATACTGTAATATTTTTACATTATCAAATCATTAAAAAACCATAGACAGATCATTGTTTATATTAAGAACGAGTTGATAACCTGGAAAATAAGGTGAATTACCTACTACATTGAGTTAAGTTATATCAATAGCAATATATGCGTTGTTACAATAAGGCATGTTCGGTTAGATGCATCAGACAAAATATTCATGGTATAAAATATTAAATATATGCAAAAATATTAAATATATGCATTGTTTATCCAATGTTGGTAGCAATTATCAATTCCAGTATAACTAATACATGTACAGCTTATACGCCAATTCCTGTATTATTTATATCAAGTCCAATGTGGTATAAGCAATACTGTGATTAATTATACATGAATAAGGCATTTAAAATGGAAAAACTACCCCTGAGGTTTTTAAATTATACAGTATATATCTAACTTTTAATTCAATGAACCAAATGCACAATAAAAAATTAAACACTGCATATAACAATCAGTGCATTATAATCCATGTATTATTAATCTTCGCACTGCAATCCCTGCATAACTTGGTTCTAAACCAAATCATAGTGTAAAAATCATTATATTGTAAAAGTAAAATCCTTCTTAAAAAATTAAACAACACACACAAAAAAAAAAAAAAAGGATCATACCTCAGGCTCGGTGAGGTCCTCAAATTGAGGTGGGACACGAATGGAGAAACCATCACCGTAAAACTGGAACCAAGACTTAGTATTAGAAATGCCGGAAAGGAAGGATGACAAGGATTTCGTCTCAGCAGAGGATATTGGAGAGAGGAAAAGGCAGAGGGAAGTAGAAGAACCAGCGAGGAACACTAGTCTTCTAGAAAGAGAGATAGGTTTGGTAGAGATGATGGGTTCCGTATTGGGTTTTTGCGGAGGTTTTGGTGAGTGGAAAGAGAGGGAGAGGAGTGTGGACATGGCCATGGCCATGCGAGAGTGGAGATGGGATGGGATGCACACATTGCTGCTTATGGTAGTGTGTAGATAATGTGGGGACACAGAGGAGAGAGGTTTTAACGATTTACAAGGAGATAATACATGTAATTCCCATCCGTACTCGTACCTTTTTTAGTTGCACACTTAAAATTTGCATAATGACTCTTGTCTATATTATATCTAGCTATATTTAAAACGAAGCTTTTTCGGGTCCGTGTTTATAACTCTTTAAAAATAAATTTTATATTGAATAGAATTTTAATTTAGGTTAATTAAAATTATAATTATTTTTAAATCTTTTCTTATTTGAGCTAGATAGAAAATTCTAATATTTCGAATTTTAAAATTAATTAATTATTTTCTTATACAAATATTTTGTTATTTGAACTATATAATATAATTAAAAAATTTCAAATATTAAGGAATTTAAAATCAATGAAAATATTGTTTATAAATTCTTCTTTATTTGAGTTATTCTCAATCAATATAAAAAATCTCTCTAAACTTCATCCAATTTAATTACATATGTGTTTGTGCAAAATCGATAATCGAGCATATTTAGTTGGAACTTCTACGTTAATATATCTTACAACATGATTACAAAGACAATGGGAAACTAATCAAGAAAAAGGGAAGAGTAAAAAAGGATTACAAATAAAACTTTAAATACAGTAAAGAGGAAAAAAAATAGATACTTTAATACGTTTTTATCTTTACAAACCAGATATTGGTTGATTTCATTATACATGACGTCATTCCCCATTTCTAGAGAATGTTGTACCGGTGTGGTAAGGCATTATCCTAAGATTAAATTTATTGTTCCTTATATATTTGAAAAATATGTTATAATTGTAATTCATTCATGTAACCTATAATTATATATATGAATTATAATGCATTTTCATATTATATTGAACTACTTTCCACATAAAATTTAAGGACAATACTTAGTAATTAGAATTGTCACGACCCAAAACCCAGATAGTCGTGATGTCACCTAGCTCAACCCGCTAGGTAAACCAAATGATAGACAACACAACTTAAATAGGATAACAAGAATCAATAAATAAAATATCTGAGCTTTCTATACAAAATTCAAAGGATTGGTGGTACAAGTCATGAGCTTCTAAGACATATAATTTACAAAGCTCGTACGAAAATACATCATCTGTTCGAAATATACATAAACAGATTTATAAATCTAAAGCTATTAAGAGCAAGAGGCAGCGATAACTGAAACGCAGGTACATCTGCAATACCAGCTCCCGCCATACACAACAACATCAGCTCCAAAATCCGCATGCAATGTGCAGAAGTGTAGTATGAGTACAACCGACCCTATATACTCAATAAGTAACAAACTTAACCTTATGTTGAAAGCAGTGACGAGCTCGGAAGAAGGTCAGTGTCCCACATCAACAGCCAATATTAACTCATAATAATATAATGGAAGCAGTAAAAGTGATAGCTCAAAAGATATTATGCTTAGCTCATTCACAGTTACGGAAAAGTCGACATTCTTTCCAGGTATAACAGTCCCAAAAGATATTATGCTTAGCTAAGTGACAACATAATTTCTTCTTTGCGAACGCGAAGCTTCCTTCGCGAACGCGATTCACAGGTCCATTTTTTTCCATTTTACTCTTCGCGATCGCGACCAATGCTCCTTAATCACGATGTACACCCCTGTAGCCAAAAACCAATAGTTGAAAATGGCTTAAATGGTCTGAAATCAATCTGAAACACACTCGAGCCTCTCGGAATCCCGTCCGAACATACGGACAAGTCCCATAACATAACACAGACTTACTTGATGCCTCAAATAATGCATAACAATATCAAAACCACGAATCACACCTCAAATCGAACTTAATGAACTTTTGAACTTTCAACTTCCAAAACTCGTGCTGACCATATCAAATCAATTCAGAATGACCTCAAATTTTGCACATAAATCCCAAGTGATATAACGAAGTCATTCCAATTCCTGGAACCACATCTGAACCTGATATCATCAAGGTCAACTCCCGGTCAAACTTATGAACATTCCAAACCTTCAAAATTCCAACTTTTGCCAAATAGTGTCGAAAACTTCTAGAAACATCCAAATGCAACTCCGTACATATGCCCTAGTCCAAAATCACCATCCGTACCTAACGGAACCATGAAAACACCGGTCCGAGATCAATTACTTAAAAGTCAAACTTGGTCAATTTTTTCAACATAAAGCTTCCTAGTTGAGAATCATTCTTCAGAATCAATTCCGAATTACCTGAAAGCCAAATCCGACGATTCACACAAGTAATAATATATCATATGAAGATACTCAAGACTTCAAACAGTTGAATGGAATGCAATTGCTCAAAATGACCTGCTGGGTCATTACATTCTCCCCCCACTTAGACATGCGTTCATCCACGAACGTGCCAAGAGTCATTGCAAAGCCGTACGGGGAGGGGGGGAGGGGGGGGTGATACCACGTCACCCCAATTCATTAAAAGTATTTTCTATTAATGAATATCTATTTTTTACAAATTAATTAAGTACAAGTCTTAAAATTAATCACGTAGTGTTAATATTATGTAATTACAAATGTATTTACTATCTTAAGATTATTAAAATAATTTTTGTATATATATTATATAGTTTTTATAATTAATTTGACAAATTTACTCCTTAATTTCTAGCGAATTAGGTTACTATGCTAATATTTTGAAATTAGTGCTATAATTCGAAACATGCGTTGTTTATAGATTATTAATTAAAATAATTTGTAACATATATAATAATTATAATTTTATCATATTTTATTGAAATTGTTAAGCTTATTTAAAATTAATTTTAAAAGGGTTAAAAACCAAAAGGCTACAATTGCAATTCCTTAATTAAATATAAAGTGGCTATTCATTAAATTAATTTCAGCCCAAGCCCAAGACAAATCTGACCCAGATCCAATTTCCTTCTCTCCATCATGGCAATCCCTGTCTCCTCTTCTTGTCCAATGAAATTGTGCCACACCACCCATCTATATCACTCACAAAAGAAACACAATCAATTTGGGTCGTCCGTCCTATAGATCAACGGCCTTCGTTTTGTATCTATTTTTCTTTAATTTTAAATGCCCCATCAGATCTAATCTCAACCGTTGAAACCAAAAGATCCAATGTCCCTCACATTTTCTCTTTAAAATCTTTTAATTCCTGAATTATCATGGCCGTTGATCTACATAATCAACGGCCCAGATCATATCTCCCATCCTTAACCTCAGACACCAACCCCAATACCCAAACCCTAAAAATCATTTCCCCTTGCCCAGCCGCCCTTCTTTCCTTTTTCTCTCTCACTTCTCTCAACTCGCCAAGACCAAATCAGCCACAAACCTTGCACAAAAATCGAACAGAGAATCATCATCTTTGCCTTCATTATCAACGAATCCCGCTGACTTTACCTCTTTTGTTCGCCAAATCAGAAATGCCAGGACCTGGTTCTTTGAAATCGAAACACTATTCCATTGTCCTTTCAAATCAACTCACAAATTTATCTTCTTTGTTCCTAGAAAATGAAGCCAGTGAGCCCAGTTTTCCATTCTCATTGTTAGAATTCAAAAACCCCAATTCGAAACCTTAGACCTAATTGATGAGTTTTTATTTCATCTGGTTTCCCCACTTATTATGCCAAAACGGAGCATGCATATGCATGATTCAGAGTTTCATCACAAATATTCTGTACCCAGAGGTCAAACACAGTGACCTCTGGGTTTTAGGATTGTCCGTCGATTATTTGCCTTCAGTGGTTGACTGTTCTCCACTCAGGTAAACTCAATACTGAATTCACCTTCTATCTCCTGATTTTCGTTCGATTTGCTATCGTCATTATCATGAGTCATTCTCCACTATCTTAGTTTGAATCCTGAAACCCTAAGGACTTAAATGACACTATAAAAGGGGGTCTTCAATGCTCTCACCTAAACACATATATGAACACACACTAAGCACACAAAAGACACAGAGAAATTTAGGGTTTCGAGTTTTAGTTTTCTCACAGTTTTCTCTCTCTTTTGTTGAGTTCTATTGCTGGTTTAAACTCGAGGGTTCTGGGATTTTGAGAAACAAAAAGAGTTTGTTTGGTCTGCTGCCCTAAAAAGGGTCAACACCTGTCTCTCACTTTTTCTCTTTTGTTCGTCTCTTTGAATGACATGAGTATACTGAAATAGGTTATGTAGATTACAATTATTTTGTATCTGGTTGACATGTTTGATATTTATGCTTTGTTAGTTTGACGACTTCTTGTGGTCAGCTTGTTCTGTTATAATTCTTTAAGTGATAATCGATTAAGCCATAATTTATACCTGTAGATCTTTGTTATGAGTTTTCCAACAGTCTCCATGCCTAAGTTCTTATGTGTTTATGTTCATTATGAACTTTATAATTCTTATTGACTTGCAGTAAGCTCATCTCTGTCTTGTTGCACGTCTGTAGTTTTGTGAGCGTGGAAGTTGAGTTTACTACTTGATAATTATAACTAAGATGACTTAAATCTCTTTGCATTTTAACCTAGAGCCTAAACTTGAAGTGTCTTTGCCTGTGTTTTCCCAACTGTTTTTTCTGAGTTACTACTATAGTCTTTCACTTTGTTTAGTTATTATTATCGTTAAACCAATCATGCTTATCTCAACTCCATGTTTTTTCCTTTCACTGATGATTCTGCTGTGATCTTCACTCCTACATATTATCCCCTGCATCTTATTTGTCTTATGGTTGAGTTCATTATTTGATAATCCTAACTGAGATAAACATGAAAGTTCAATAAGTCCATATCACTTAACTAAGTTCAAAGAACCTATGTGTTTAGATGCTCTCCCCTTCTATATCTGCATCTGCTAGCCCTGAGGGTAGTTTCTGGGCTATCACCATGACCTTCTCATAATCACACCTAACTGTTGGATGCATTTATAGGAGACTATCTTGTCTGAGTTAAGTTGTCTTCTTTTCATGAACCTTTGTTGTACATATTCTATTAAGGTTAATCTACCTTTATTTTTCC